CCCCAAAAAGGAACTAGGCCGATAGGAACTAGATCCCCACCAGTCCAAAATCGGCGAAAAGTGGTACTTTTAAGAAACTAAGTTTTTCAGTTTCTTTCACTACAAATCTATACCTAAAGTCACGAATTTAGAAATGGTTCGGAACTATAGAGAAAGGGATGCAGAACGAACTAGATCCTATTTGTCGAATTTAGAACTATTTCGGAACTATCGAATAAGGGATGCAGCGGGGGGCTTGTTTACTTTACATAGATATGTGTTCGGCGGTTTTTTCGTTCAAATACGCTTCTATTCTGTGCTTCGCAGATGCTATTTCATAGTTTGGTAATACAAAACAAAGCTTTGTGTTGACATATTAACATCTTGGGGCCATCTGGAATCTAACCAATAACAGCGAGCACCTCTGCAAAGTCAGGTACAGGAAGGTATGTAAACGTACATTTCTTACAATCATTCAAACAAATTTAATTTCAAATTGAAATAACGTTTCTTTGAAAATAATGTAAAATCGCACACGGAAGAACCGAAAAGATTGAAAAATCATTATACTTTTTTCTTTCGTCTGTCGATTTTAGAACTGGTTCGGAACTATAGAATTTAGGACTAGTTCGGAACTATCGAAAAAGGGATGCAGCGGGGGCAATTGACACTTCCTAGGACATCGCCATGTTAAATTCGCCAGTTGCTTGCATGCAAAAGAGATTTATCGCGAACCAGTACTGGGTCTAAATGTACTAGAAGCGCCCCAGTTTAGAACTAGAGATTTTCCCCACAGGGATTATATTAGCATGCAAATCTAACAACACCCCTGCAAAAATCGCGACTACTCCATGCATGCGTATAAAGAGTACTCCCTAAGGACCAAGGAGTACTCCAAAATTAAACACAATTCATATAAAAAATATGGTCCAATTAACATTGCGATGTCCTAGGGCAGGACCATATACTCCATCCCCGCATTACATCAGAGTAGCACAAAACTAATAATACTCCAATATATTAACAATGGCATTGTTCCTATATTTTTTCGTTTGTACACGCTTTTGTTCTTCACTTCTCAAATACTTTTTCGAAATTAATAAAAACCAAGACCAAAATTAAAAATTATATGTTGCCTCTGACGGTATTCGAACCCGAACATGCTGGGAGCTAAGAACTAACAGCGAGCATCCCTACACGTTCAGCTACAGCCAGACATGCAAATATGCTTTCAAATGCTCAACTTCAATCACGTTTCGTTAAAACACGAGCAGTGATCGGATAACAAACAATAAGCTAGCGCAGAGACACCAGTTGGTCCGCTACAGCATGGCAGAGGAGCACTTTTGTAAGTACTCCAATTTACCACAAATAGACTACATGATCCAACGATTTTTGCAGGGACCTTGTCTTCAATATTCACAAAAACAACATCCCCAATAAAATCCCACCAACAAAACAATGTGGTATACGAAATCGCATGCAAAGGGAGCGAAAACGAATGCTGCAATAAAGTGTACATTGGCACAACGAAACGACCAATGGGAGTTCGCTTAGCTGAACACGAAGCCGACATTAGAAAGAATAAAAACAGCACTGCTATAGCACAACATGTGTATGCTAGTGGTCATACAGCTGATCTGACCAACGCGAAAATATTGGATAGAGAAAAAACAAGATACACACTGGAGAGTTTAAGAATTTTGCAAAAAAGAAATGTAACAATAAACAAGAAAGAGGACACTGACGACATCGCGGCTGCATACTTATTATGTTTATAGCCTTTTTAGAATTAGTTTGACAGATGTACCACAGGGTGATGGTATGAACGCTGCTTAAAAATTTTAAAGTTTAAATGTTAAGTGTACAATAGTTAAGTTTTGAAATGTAAGTTTTTCAATGTTTTCTCAAAAGTGTTTAAAGTCCAGTATGATGTTAAAAATTGCTAATTGTCCAGATTAAATACAAAATTTGTTCCTTGTTGTACAATTGTTTTTTGTACATATCAACAAATTATATTATAACAATAACGTCCTTATATTTGTTTCTTGTTGATATTTAATAAAGAAAACGCCCCAGAAGATGCCAAGGAGGTTGGCGAAACGTCGGGCAGCAAAGTGAAGAAAGTCTTTTCTGGCACATGAGCCTATTTGATCATTATAGCCCAGTACAACCAACAATAACAACATAAAATTGAAATTGATCATCAACCCATCGTTATAAAATAGTTTTTTTCTTTTAAAGGCAGTGTCACACGATTGGGCATTTGCCCAAAATTTGGGGCAAATCGTATCCCACTCGTGTGAATGCACAAATATTTTTCTTCATCCCAACCACGAAAAACAATTTGTTAAAACATTTCAGTAGAAGTTCGCTGTATTGTACAAATCGTGTGACTACAAGGAAATCGCCCCATAATTTTATTTTGTACCAATAGCCCAATATAAAAAAATATACAAATGTAC